GGTAAGTATATGTGCAATACATATCGATTTTAAATGTAATTACCCGTGCGGTTTTCGTTGAATGAGGTTACCAAAATGCATCATGTTGAATCGAAGTTATACCTAAATGTCAGATATTTTGTGGGAATGTCACACAATGGATTATAATAAAATATACCCCAGTAGAACTCTCCGTGCAACATTAGGAACTAAAAAAAAACGTAATATGTTGAAAACATGACTGATTGATTGAAAATGACCGTACTAATTTCCGTCTCCTAAACGTTCATCGCCTTTGAAAACGGTCGTCAACGTTTTACGTCTATGCGCACACAATGGGAGTCTCCGTGGTTAGTGCATCTGTATCTGTCTGTTCGTGTCTGTTCCACTGATATCTCAAGAACCAATTATCTAATTTTAATGAAACTCTGGGTTAATGCGAAGACCTGATTAGTTTTTAGTTGAAACTCATGCATATTAATTACGAAATTGCATATTAATTAATAAAATTTAAGCATTGTCACTTGCTTCTCATATACTATTAAACAGATTCATATGAAACTTTGTACATATAATCTCTGGGATAATACATATAACATATTTATAGCATAATTACATGCTCGTGTGCCAAACAGTTTTGTCGTCGTTTTTGAATTAATGTAAGTAATTTGAACAATATATTAACTAGTTCATAACCTCATTAATTATGCAGATATTCAATATCTAAAGATCTGTGAAGATGCACATTTACTACAAGCTGAATATTGTGCAAATGGACGAAGAGGTTCGGATTAAATATGTACATATCTAATTCACAGAGAACTATTTCCTACTTTTGTTCTGGCTGGAAGGCATGATTTGTTCACATGTTAGGGGCCATCTCCATTCACCCACTTTGTGGGCCCTCTCACAAGTATGACTATGCACTACATTACAATGAATCTGTATGTTGGAAGCGATAGGGTAAACAACCGTAACCATGTTATAGTTTAATCCACTGTTCCTCCGGTGCAACTACAATCACGCCAGATCCCATAAAATATAAGATACAAAATAAAAACTGAGTTTGAACAGATTTTTAAATTACACGTAATTGAACTATTAACTGAACCAACTGAATGAGTTAGTCAAATTAGAAAGGTCATCCGTGGGAACACATAAAGCCTGCGATTTGTCGTCAGCACTATCCAACTACACGGTGTTGGAAGACATAGTAACAAGAATGTTTTCAGTGAGTTGTGTTTTCTTTGCTTTGATGTTCAAGTTATTGTAACAAAGTAATTACAAATTACTGCCCCCTATGTGATCTATTGGATGCAATTAAACTCAGTAAAAATTTGTTGTCAAACATTATACAAGGTGACTATAGACAATCAAAACTAGAGATGTGTGCACTCTGGGTGACATTACAGTGGTGCTTGATCTGATTTAAAGATAATTGTCAAACAACCCTTGAAAAGTTAAATAATAATGAAATTAACAATTGTATGAGTAAACCTTGTGGCATTTATGAGTCAGAAGCTGCAGTCACAGATTTTGAAAAGTTAATTACAAATATCGCAGACAAATGTCTGAAGAAAATTACTCCTAAACTTAAAAAAATAAACGCAAAAGTAAACAAAATAAATCGTTTTGCCAGAATTGTTGGTTCCTTTGTAAGGAGTTAAGAAGCCTATCACGCTTATTACAAAAGTATCCTCAGGATCCATAGATCCGAGGGAAACTCTTTCAAACCCGTAAAAGTATAAAATTAATCAGACATAAAACTAATCAGAAAATGACTGCACAACTCAAAGAATTGGAAAATTCAAAAACAGACACATAAAAATTCTGGAAGATTCTCCGTGATATAAATGGCGAAAACTCCAGTAATAATAATGGGAATGTTCAACCTGGTGATTGGTTTACCTACTTAATATTGATAGCAGTACATCCAACTCTGAGATTGTGAATGAATTGGAGAATAGTGAAAAGAGTGCAAGTAGCAACCCCTATTTAGACAGACCAATCTTAAAAAATGAAATAACAAAAGCCATATAATTAGACTTCTTAAAAGTAGCAAGGCTCCGGCAGACGAATTTGTAAAGATTGTTAAAGTATGGTCAACATCACTTATTATATGCAATACATAAACTGTTTAATATTGTTTATAATTCAAATAACTATCCACATTCATGGAGCACGGGTCTGTTGGTACCAATCCACAATTAATCTGGGTCAAAAAATAACACGGCCAACTACAGGGGAATTGCCATCTCTAGCTGTCTTGACAAGTTATTCAATAGCATCCTGAATATTAGGCTGACATCTTTTTCTTAGATTCAAATAACACCCTTTCCGGTCAACAATTTGGATTCAGGCATGTTTGTCAATCTACAGACAATCTCTTCATATTAAAAACTCTGGTAAATAAATTTCTCTACGATGGTAATTCGGAGAACGCCAATAAACAAAATTACCCAAATATTAAAAAAATCTGGCAGGGATTAAAAATTAATCAAATGCGATATAACAGGAAAACTGTTTAAAACTATCAAAAACATGCACAGTAAAGTAAAATATAAAGTTAAATGTTAAGAGGGTTTAGCAAAACAATGCTACTCCAATATTGGTTAAACAGGGATGTAATCTTACTTCACCTGTCTTCAATATTTGTCTAAATGACCTGCCTAGTATTTTCAATCCTAGTACCTGTGATCCTCCTTATTTATGCCAGCTGTCTACTTTATGCCAATGAAATAAATAAATAAATGCAATCACGTTTAATGTTCTCACGGTTTACCCAGTAACAGAATTCATTGCTGAAAAAACACTAAGCTTTCTTCTAATTTTTGTATGGGGTAACACTTTTTTCAAGTGTTGTTATGGGTCCACCCTGTTTTTTTTTACATTAGGAATGGTCATTGGAATTTAGCTGTTGAGTAAAACCACCCGCCTCAGGATAAGAACATGACTATTCCCTTATGCGAGATCTGGTAGTGAACGGAATATAATCTATTAGTGTCGTACCCCGGTGCGTTAAGATGGGCGGTAAAACTTCCGTGTTCACGAGCAAGCCACTGCTGACGGCAATCATTATTGACGTCGCTTGACAAAAATATGAGCATGACATTCGTGTATGATACACATTACTGCGTTTTCCAGGGGCTCCATAATATGATTAACATATCCAAACACTTTTAATGTGACATATTCATCCTTTCAGAATATATATAATTTGTCGTGGTTATGCGGTCATGGACAAAGGTAAATACATTAAAGAAAGGGAAAGCGTATGTCCCTGGCGCTTGTCCTTGGGAAGTGACCCATTTAATCAGCGGTTAAAGGGTCTGGTGTTCAACAGTGTTTACGACACTGCGGCGATACTATCCTGTGTGTGCAGTAAAGGACCCACCGACTATCAGAGTACACGTTTTCAACGATATAATGGACAAAGGCTCACAAAGGTTTGCATTGTTTTTGAGACTACTAATCAAAGTTTTGATCACAGTGGAAAAGTGTTGCGTGAGCGATGTAATACAATGGATATTGCTGTGTACAGTGGCGAAGACAAGTATTACGGCACTGTCTTAAGTTAGCTGCGCTCCTATATATTGAAGTGGGTCTCATCACTGTTCCAGTTTTGAGAAGCATGTTTACTGTTTTTATTTACGTTGTTATGAGTATATAGTTAGGTTGTTTATTTTAACCCGGACAGACCGCCATTTTTGTGGCGTATTGTGTTACAAGCAGCTAAGTTGCTTTGCAGCCTCGCATTCTCATCATATTTGTGTTTGCGTATCGATTTCAAATGGCAAGACAGTTGGTGGTAGTCGCCTAGATACCTGGCGTGTGGTGTGTTTGTATTGTAACCACCACTTGTGGTGACATCTCTATTTTCTAGATGTGAATGAGTTGTATAATAAACCAACATTTCACAATGGTTTTCCCCCAATAGAATAATAATTGTTTTCTTTGCCATCTGACGGGCTAACTGTCTGGGCTTTATTCTGCTGTGGGCACACTAATTCAGGCGAATGCTTTACGTGATTACTTTCTGGCTTGCAAGTTGCCTCCGTCGTCGAACTGTAATGGTCTCTTAAGTGATAGTTTTTGGAAATGTGGTAATGACAGTAGCTTTTATAAATACATACAATGTTTAGTGCGGCTTTCACTAATGTCAATCATGCTCCAGGCACCGGGCACGACTCAAAGGCGTTACGAGAAACAAGGACGATGAGCTGATCTCATACATAACAGTGCGGACAAGCGAATCAGGAACCATGGCCTGCGTAAGCGGCAGTCGGTCATAGCCTGTACTTGTTTACAGACAAACGTCAACCCATGAGTCTACCCCTCCGCTTTAACAGCAACGATCGGGAAAACATGGATATCGGATGGTGACATTGTTATTTCCCATCGAAGGGGTGAACCGAAATGACCGCCAAAATTCAACCCACGAACTTAATTGAAACATGTGGGATATGTCCAACAGTTTGTGCAAGTTTATGTCATGGAATAGTCACTGAAGGTACACCTAAACGCACGCCATCACTGTAATTATGGTACAAATATCAGTCAATTAATCATATCACTCAACAACAAATCGCAATAAATAATTATATTGAATGATATATTATATAAGCAATTATTGTAATTGTCATCGTCGTCGTCGTTGTTGTTGTTGTTGTTGTTGTCAAACCACCCATATTGTCACATATGATTTCATGTCAGTACATACAATCTATAATATTCGGGGGGGGGGGGTGTAATTCAAGCTTGCCAGTCACTGCTCTTATCTTATCAACCAATTTGATGCTTCACATACTAGTATATAGGTAGTGAGTGATATGTGAATATTGAAATTGATAGATATGTTAAATGGAGATATATGTGACAGGAAAACAAATGACTGCAATGCATTGTAAAATGAACCCATTGGGAACACATGTCTGTCACAGTCGTCACGCATTGCCACACTCGCTGCGCATTACCACAGCTGTCAGCATTGCCACACTCGCCACACACTACCACAGTCGTCACGCATTGCCACACTCGACACGCACTACCACAGCTGTCAGCATTGCCACACTCGCCACACACTACCACAGTCGTCACGCATTGCCACACTCGCCACGCACTACCACAGTCGTCACACTGCGTCACAGTCGTCACGCAGCGCCACAGTCGTCAGGCAACGCCAAAGTCGTCTCGCAGTGCAACAGTCGTCACATAGTGCCACAGTCGTCAGGCAGCGCCAAAGTCGTCTCGCAGTGCAACAGTCGTCACATAGTGCCACAGACGCCCTGTAGAGTCACAGTGTAGTACGCGTTGTATTCCATGTATGTAAACAAACGATGTGTTCACACGCATTGTGTACGTCCCGTGGGAGAATATCAAACACGACGATTATGACGCTTTGACAGTTGTGTTACGTAATGCATGCATTGACTTAATTCTCCCACTATGTAGCCCGCAAGTGACTATTTTCTAACTTTCAACGATTATTTCACAGTTCGATCGACGGCATAAAATTAGAGCCCGAGAATGGAGTTTGGAAGAAGGAAAGGTCGAAAGGCTGCTACATCACTCGCAATAAGGCTATACTTATTGGCGTCGTATTCGTATTGTTGCTTATCGTAGTGGCCTTAATATTTTATTATATTCCACATCCATCCAATAAATGCGAATGTGAAAATGATGTAACAGAGCAGTCGTCAGACGAATGTGACATAGTTCCCCGTCTCCCAGATATGCCAGACAAACCATCCATTCCACCCTATGAACCATTTGGAGAGAAATTACCCAACTCGATATATCCTTTACACTACGATCTCACTGTGAAGACGTTCCTATACGAATATGAAACCAGTGAAATGGAGAGATTTACATTCGAAGGTCATGAGACTATCTACCTCCGCTGTGATGAATCCACGAACACTGTCAAGATGAACAGTAGATTCTTGAACGTTAACTTTGAACCTGGCATGATTAAGATCACAGAGAGTGACACAGGAAAGGAGATCGGTATAAAGTCAGGGAAATTAGACGAGATGCATGAGCTTTTCGTTGTGGAAACAGTGGAAACCATGGAAACGAATGCCTACTACACGTTGGAGATACTTCACTTCGGCGCAGAAATGGATTATGCTTATTACAACCAATTTGGAATGTATTATCAATCGTATGAAATAAATAACGAAACGAGGTTAGTATATGTCTGTATTACGTGTCTATGCATATATGTGTATACCTGTTGTGTAGCATACATTCACGTTACAACCCAACTAAAATAGCAACAGTATCGTATATTTTTTATCACATTGTTTTCTCTTTGTGTAGGTGGATATGCAACACTAAATTCACGCCAAACTATGCCAGGGAAGTCTTTCCATGCTTTGATGAACCACATTTCAGAGCAACATTTAATCTTACCCTAATCTATCACAACAAACGCTGGGCGAAGTCCAACATGCCGGTGAGGGAGAGTGTCGACCTGGGCAATGATTGGACTGAAACGCGATTTGAGACGACCCCTAGTATGGTGACGTACCTGCTTGTAATGGTGGTGGCTGATTTCGATTATATTGAAACTACGACAGCAAATGGATACCCGGTAAATCAGCATGATTCTATTCTATTCTATTCTA